CCGCCGGTTCATTGAGTACAGCTCCTGGAGGGAAGCCTCCAAGGGAAGGCAGGAATCAGGGAGATGGTTTCTGTGACTGGAGAGGAACAGCACAGAGGCGTGTTTCTATCCAAATCTTCCCGATCGGGCTCTCTGAAGCCGTTTCGGGTCCGTCCCTGGGCTTGTCTGGGTGAGCAGCTCTGATTTAAGGCGCTGTGTGTCGGGGGGCTGGGCGGGTGGGGAGCCCCTGGCAGCGGAGCTCCGTGGGCACGAGTTTCCGTTGCATCTGCTTTCACCTGGCTGCAAAGACCTGGCTCATTCTCCTGCAGGGGATTCGTGTGTCTCCGGGTGAAGGGGGACCCTTCCGAATCCCGATTTCTTTCGAGACCTACAAAGCCGCAGCAAAAGATGCCCAAGTCGCAACCAAAGTTGCCCAAGTCGCAGCAAAAGAGGCTCAAGTCGCACCAACAGATGCCCAAGTTCTTTCTTCCGCGGTTTATTTATAGCTCTTATTCCAAATAGATTTTTAAAAACTAAATATAGGAAATCCCCAAAGTTGGTATTTTTCTTTCTTTTCTTTCTTTCTTTTTTTTGGGAGGTGGGGGGAGGGGGGACGGACCAGGCTTGCTGTTAACCAGGCAGGTGCAAAAGCCAATAAGCCTTTAACAAACCAAGTTCCTACAGGGATTTGGGACAATTGTTTCCCTTTAATAAATATTCCCCCCAAGGGCATTTCGCATTAGGCAGGCAATTATTCAAAAGGCACCCGGCTCGCAGGTTGGTTCCTGGGGTTAAACAGGGCTTCCTACATCGAAGAATTATAACCTATTTTTTTAATATATAAAAAAAGAAACAACAACATTGAACCCACCAGATAATAGAAAGGAGCCGGTCTCCACCGAGGCACCAGCAGGGAGGTCCAAAGTGCCCTGCTCCTGTCTACAGCATCTAGAGATGCTGCGGGTGGCTAATATTCTCCCCCTCGATTTAAGAGCAAAGGAGAGGGTTTTAAAGAGAAGAAGCGAGCAAACCAGATCACCTTGGGGGAACTAATGGGGGGAGTACAATGCCCCCCGGCCCCCCAAAGAAAAGTAGTTCGTTTTCCCTCCCTCCCCCCCAACAATTGCCCCCTTTGCCATAATGAATATGGAACAGTTATGATGCACAGTGCTAATACATTATGTATATAGGTCCGGGATGTGGAGTTGGGCTGGCGAGCTGGGAAAAAACAGTGCCTCGTTTTGCCATGCTAGACCCGGGAGCATGTGGCTGTGTCTGGAGGTATTTTATAGGCAGGAACAGAGGGTTGTTTGGGGTTGTTTTTTTTTATTTTAATCCCCCCCACCACTTCACATTGATGCTAGATGTTACGAGGTTTGCAAGGGGGAAGCGCTGCTTTGGCAGGTCCCTTATGAGGTCCTAATTATAAACTCGCACGCACATACATACACCCCCCCTACACACAAAAAAAGACCTATTGGTACTAAACACCCAGGAAAGAAAGCGAGGCGGCGTGCAGACTCCTAGTGGGTGCTATTAGTGCCCTGCCTAACAAAAGCCTTCCCTTTAATCCCGTGTATTTAGTGATCTCCACTCCCCCCCGCCCCGCGTTCTTGCTTGCTTTCTCCCCCCTCCCCTCCCCTCCCCTCCTTCTTCCCTTCCTTTTCCTCCCTTTGAAGGTATGCTCCCCTCCAAGCTGATTGGGCGGGCAGGTTAGGGAGTGACTATGTCAGATGGCGGAGCAGCCTCGCCTTTGAACTTCCCCGCTCTCGGCTCCTAGTCCGCCTCCCCGCCGCACTCCCGGCCAGGTGCTCCGCCGGGCTGGGCAGGTCCAGCCTGAGCCCTGCAGCTGGAGGCACCTCTGGATTTCCTCCACCTCCACTTCTTTTGCCCCCTCCCCCCTCCCTCTCCCCCCTGGTCCCAAGCAGGAGCCTCTCGCCAGGACCGGATTTGCCGCAGCCCCTGGCATGATCAGCTGAGCGCTCGCGGGCGGGGTGGTGCCAGGGTGCCAGGCAAGGAGCCCCGGGCAGGTGAGCCGCAGCCCCGTCCGAGCCGTCTCAGCGCGCCCGCAGCACCATGTCCAAGCCGAGCGACCACATCAAGCGCCCCATGAACGCCTTCATGGTGTGGTCCCGGGGCCAGCGGAGGAAGATGGCCCAGGAGAACCCTAAAATGCACAACTCGGAGATTAGCAAGCGCCTGGGCGCGGAGTGGAAGCTGCTGTCCGAGGCCGAGAAGCGGCCCTACATAGACGAAGCCAAGAGGCTGCGGGCGCAGCACATGAAGGAGCACCCCGACTACAAGTACAGACCCCGGCGCAAGCCCAAGAACCTGCTCAAGAAGGACAGGTATGTCTTCCCTTTGCCTTACCTCGGGGACACTGACCCCTTAAAGGCGGCCGGGCTGCCCGTGGGAGCCACGGACTCGCTGCTGAGCTCCCCGGAGAAAGCTAGGGCTTTCCTGCCTCCCACCTCCGCACCTTACTCCTTACTTGACCCCAGCCAGTTCAGCTCCAGCGCCATTCAGAAGATGACTGAGGTTCCTCACACCTTAGCCACCAGCACCCTGCCCTACGCCTCCACCTTGGGATACCAGAACGGGGCGTTTGGCAGTTTGAGTTGCCCCAGCCAGCACACCCACACCCATCCTTCGCCAACTAACCCCGGCTATGTGGTGCCATGTAACTGTACAGCTTGGTCGGCTTCCAGTTTGCAACCTCCAGTTGCCTACATATTATTCCCAGGCATGACCAAGACTGGAATAGACCCCTATTCTTCAGCACATGCGACTGCCATGTAACCCCCACCCATTACACCCAAGCGGGACCGGGGTTGCAGTTGGAACTTGAATCCCTTCCATGTGCATGTGTATAGGACCTGCAGAAGCAAAAAGCCACCTGGACAGGACACTGCTGCCATGATGGCACCTGGGGAGAGACGCACAAAAGACTTCTCTTGGACTCAGAGACTCTCTAGTCAAACACAGACTAAGTCCCAGAGGAGGCTCAGAGGCACTGGAGGTTCAGTTAGGCGCCAGAAACTTGTAAGAATTGTAAATGTGTTAACTGCCCTTTTGGACACAGAGACAAAAAAAAAAAGGCTAGGCAGTTTCGATTTTTATTTATTATATTAATGTCTATGAGTTCTATATGATCGGGTGTGCTTTGGATTTGAATTTCCGAAGTCCTGGTATCATGATGATTATTATTATTTTTTCCTTTTGCACATTAAAAGACAAGATTAGCTGTGTTATATCTATATATATATTTTGCCATCAAGCACTAATAGGTAAAATTGCTTTTCATGTCAAGACAAACAAAAAAACCACAAAAAACAACAAAAAAATAAATAAAAGGCTCTTTAAAAAAAGGGGGAAACGTTTATATTTAAAACATGAATATGATAGTGTTTGCTTAATTTAAACCAGATAGTCCTTCAAGTTTGTGTGATTCAGTGCAATTAGACCTAAGTTTACTTTTAGACAGAGCGTCAGGTATGGAGTCAGGCAGTAGAACTGTAAAAAAAAAAAAAAAAAAAAGAAAAAAAAGAAATAATAACCATAATAAAAAACACGAATAAAAATAATGGTAATTTAAATATGTTTTAACAATGTCTTTGGAGAAAATAAAATGTATCCAGAAGGATTTTACCTCGTTAACCTGTTCATTTGTTGAACAAAGACATTTTGAATAAAGACAATCTGTCATTAAACAAGTAAACTATGTGGTGTGAATAAACTACCAATTCTTACAAGCTTCCTCCTAAAAGAAAAAACAAACAAACAAACACCCCCACCCCCCCAAAAAAACCCACCCAAAAACACAAAGGCAAAAAAGCTGAAGGGAGTGAGTTGAACTAGTCTAGGGCCCGATCCTAGAGAAAATGGTTTGCCTGAGTAATGTTACTCAGAGGCGGGAATTTATCATCTCTGCTCATGTGAGTAATATTAACCACGCGCGTACGTGTTGGCAGGATCAGGACACTGAGGAATTGTACCTACATATCTGTAAAGATAATTTATATGTATGTGTGTGTGTATACACGCACATATATAGGTGCATATATATATACATATATATAGGTGTGTGTGTGTGCATATCTATATATATACACACACACATAAATATAGATATAGGTATATGTGTGTGTATATATATATATAGGGATATATATCGATACATATATAGGTGTATATATATATATAGGTACATATAGGTATATATGTGTGTGTGTGTGTGTGTGTGTGTGTGTGTGTGTGTGTGTATAGAAAGAGATAGATATATGTTTCTATATAGTCTTGCAGATGAGATGATATAGAGAGAAATCATAGAGAAGAAGGGCTGGAGAGGACCTAAAAAATATATGTGTATATATATATATATATACACACACACACACAGAGAATATATCTATATATCTATATATCTATAAACCATATAGCTATATATATCTATATATCTATATCTGGTTTCCAAGACTAGTTGAGACTCATCGTGCTGCGGTTTAATGTGGATCCACGTGCAAATCCACAAAAGAAACGGTTTTAATAGGCAACTTCAGGGGTGGATGATTTGCTAAAAAGTTCCGCGTCTGGCCTGATCTGGGGATGGAGTCGATAGGACGTGGGGGAGCCCCGTGTGGTTTATCTCCTGTTGGAAGGAGATAAGGGAGCACTCGATGTCTTTGAAATACCAGCGCCTCACTAAGTCCAACTTGACGGGGCTAGAAAAATAAGGTAGGGAGGGATTCATCATTCTTGGATTCAGGACTGGAGAAGGGGGAAAGGGGCAGAAGCTGGTGAGGGACGGACTGTGTCTCCTTCAGATCAGCGCCGCTGTGCATCTGGGACAGATGTTTGCAGCTGGGAGAAAGTTCTGAGCTCCGCTGCCTTGACTCCCGTAGGACACCGGGCTGTGAGGAAGGAGGCTTGGAGTAAACCTTTCCTGAGATTAAACCTTTCCAAAGAGGTTCTTGTTTCTTTTCTTTTTCTTTTTTCTTTTGCTGTTTGCGAGTCATTTTCTTTGCCAAACGCCTAACCCTTCTAAACGTGTCCAAATTCCTCTTTTTTTGTCAATGTCCCCGTCCCTCCCTCCCTTCGAGGAGAGGGAATCAGCCTTTCAAAGCTGTATTTTCTGCTTCTCCCCCAGCGAGCTTCAATTTAACTTTTACCCAGTGCAAAGAAAAGGATTGGAAATATAAACAGACTCCTGAAGCTGAAAACCAGCGGATTAGCATATTGTCCTAAACAATTAGCAGTGTTTGGGCTACCATTCATCAGGTCCCCTTTGTTAAAGAGGGATTTTCATTTAGGGGGGAAATAATAATAATAAAAAAGTAGCAGTTGTCCATCTGCTTGAGCTGAATGGCAAAGTGATCCGTGTTGTGTATGCTTTTCTCATTAAGTGCTCTTTTGAGACCGATGTTAGAATTAAATGGCATAACACAATTAACATACATGGGGCCTGAATGGAAGGGTGAGCCTATAAATAATAGATAGATAAATAAATGAGAGATCAGGCAAAGGTAAACAAAAGAGCAGAGGAGAAAAGAGTTGAAAGGAGAGGTTAGCATGGCTGATCCACGCTTGTTTAGCATGACAAAACGCCCTTACAAACCGGGACAATTAAGGAGCTGGCTTGACTGGGATTGTAATCACGGGCACAATGCGTTGGGACACTCAGGGAAAGTCCAGATGAATGGACCCCGGCGTGGAGAGGAAGGGGAGGCGAGGACCTGGCGGCTCTGCGCTGATATAACCCCAGCTGACAGTGGCTGTCAGTCTCAGTGATAACACTCATAGCTCAGTGTCCTTTAAAATCTACCCAGAGGAGTTTTACGGTGGTCTGAGGTTAGCGCCGGGGTGGAACCTGCTGGCTTCTCCCCGGGCTCTGGGGGAAGCCACTGGGCTAGGAGGAGGCAGTGGGGCAGGGCCAGGGCACGGGACCAGCTAGGGCTTCCAGGGATACCCGCTAGCTTCCCTAGCCCCGTGGGCAAACAGTGTCATGAGCCAGGCCAGGCACAAAACCTGCAGGACTTTCGTTTTAGAATCGAGAGCAGGGACTGGGGAAGGGTTCAGACGGGTGTATCGACACCCCAGTGCCCCGTGTGGATGCCAGACACACGCCTAGGCTTGTTCCTCCCAAAAGAAAGGAGCTGGGCTCAGTTCAAACTACGCCCAGGTTCAGCCCGGTTCTTTCCATGAAACCACACGGTCCATTTCACAACGCTTGGAGATCCAGGCAGCTTCTTTCTCCATTCCCTTCTGTCTTTCCTCTCCCTTCCCCTAAATTGCTGCATCTACTTTCCCCTCGCCAGCATTTTTCACTCAGCCAAATGATCCCTCAAACAGGCTTCCCCCACCCAGCCGCTCCCCCCTCCCCGTCTGCAGGTGTGTAGCTATTTGACTCGTGGAGATAAATATATTAAATAATCGTCATGACACTGAAATTAACCGATTACTGACTTTGATGTCAAAAGGAGGGGGGGGGGGGTTAGCTATTCCCTAGAGGGGAGAATGCAGCTCCTTGTCAAACCTGTTTCCCAACAACTGTCTCCTCCTTTCAATAAAATCATTAAACAAAAGCTGCAGGGTTGTAGACACCACCACGCCTGCAGCGCGCTGCCAAGCCCCTTCCAGGGGGATAGCGGGAGGAAACGGGACAGATCAGGCGACGAGGCTTTGCCAGGCTGATTCACATCGCTCCGTGTTGCGGGGATGCTCTGGGCAGGACTCTCGCCCAGGGCAAGGGGGGCACCCACATAACTCAGGGCAGGACTAAGTTGGAAAGTTGTTGTCATGTTATTTTTAATGGACCTGAAGTTAGCAGGGGCAAGGGGTGGGCGGTGGCGGCACAGCACGGATCCAAGCCAAGCGGCAGGTAGGGGTGGGTTTTGCAAGGGTGGACTTTGAAAGTCAGGTCCCTGACTGCGGTCCTTCCTGGACAAGCCCCGTGGGGAGGCAGGGAGAGGTGGCTGAGCCCCCCCACCCCTCCCGGAGCTTTGTTTCTTTCTTCTCCGGGCCGGTTGATCATCACCAGCTGCCCCAGGACAGCTGCTGGGTGCTTAGGGATGCGGCCGGGCCGGGGCGGGGGGAGACCTCTGATGTCCCGGCACATTTCAGGAGAGGAAAGGCAGATCGCCCCTTGAATTGTCCCAGCCCTTGGCCTGGGAGGGAGGATGGGGGGCTCCCGAAGCCTTGCAAAGTCTGCGGGGGAGCTGCCTTCTCCCTGCTTCTCGGTGATAATAGCAGCGTGGATTTGCCCGTCGAGGGGATCAAAGGCATTCCCGGGGACTTGGCAACATCAAACAGATCCCCGGCCGGATCCCCTCCCTCCCCCCGAGGATGAATGGAGCCGGGGAGCAGAAGGC